CAATTTCACAATGACATAGCCGTCATTACGCTAGAAACACCGCTTCAGTTAAATGGTAAGAATGAATTTATGTGTTGAAATGAAAATTGTATGGTTAGCACCTCTTGGTAATCGCTGCCTGTCTGTTAAGTTTGAAATGCTTTTAAATGTGGCGCTTGATTTAAAATAAAAATGGTATTTAAGGTGAGCCACGCCACTTATTAGTTCAATATCAAGTTTTTGTTAGTCGCTTCTTGTCACCTTTTCTTCCAAATAGCAACATATTTGGCTGACCACGATCAAAACGTTTAGAAGCGCGCCCACAGCCCATCTCAACCGATTTTAGGTTATTTTAGGTACGAAATACCATAAGATATCTTAATACTTTACTTGTCTAATTAATTACTTTATTTTGAGGCATAATCACTGAAGAAACTTCGAGTAATCTTTTGCCCAAATTTAATTAATTTTTCCACGCTGAATTATTTTAAGCTACTAATTAACAATCAAATTAGTAATTACGTTCTCTTAATATCATTCAATCTTTTTTATACGAAAGATAAAATATTTGGAGTGCTAACGTATTAAGCCATCGAAACATAACATAACAATTCTCACGCATGCCACCCAGAAGGGTATGCAGAGAGTAGGTATAGATTTCCGTTTGGAACAATCCTGACACACCTCTCCCGCCTCCATTACATCCTACCTACTTTTATTTTCGCCCATCTTCAATGTATCAATAATTTGTGGAATAAACTTGCGTCTAGGGCAGAAGCCACATTGCCAATTCTGCCAATGACTTCAGCAGCATAAATTTGCTGAAATTTATATAAATAAATTTGAAATAAATTTTCTCCATTTCCAAACTTTCTACATGTCAAGCTTGACGTTTAAGACATATCTGTCATAAATTGTAGTTACCCATGTCCACAAGTGGACTTTTACGTACTGATAAAAAAGAAGAAGGCAGTCACTCCGTCTCATATCATTCATTAAAGAATATTTAAGTCTCGTTATGCATGCGATAAGATCATTATTATTCCTACTAATCGAACGCTGACTGAAAATTATGCGTTCCAGCTTTTTATAAACTGGTATAAACTATGTTTTACAATGATTTTAAATCACTTACATCCCTTACTTCTTACACTTTAAAATACTGATTTTGTAGATTACGTAGCCCCAATCTGTTTGCCACAACGTGACCAACTAATCGATCTTCAAGTGGGTGAGTTGGTCACAGTGGCGGGCTGGGGTAAAATGAACATGTCAACTGATGAGCGAGCTAATATCTTGCAGTTTGTTTCGGTGCGTATTTATATTTAACCATTGTATAGCATGTTGTTGAATATATTCCTACTATGTATTTATATATCTTACTTCATATATTACAGTTACCAGTAGTGAAGCCTGAGTTATGCAATTTTTTCGGAAGAGGATTTAAAATAGCAGACTCGGAAATTTGTGCAGGTGCACAACACAATAAAGATGCATGCGGAGGGGACTCCGGCGGTCCTCTCATGAAGGTAAACTAATACAACGGTATTATCTGGTGCTTTAGTTATTATGAATGAATCGAGCGTTTTTACAACTGCCAATAAAATATATCGGTATTTTCCTGCTACACAACTGTCACGATAAATATAAAAATACGCATTTTCACAATCACGACATATATTCGGTTTTCGGTTATCGCATCTACATACGTATCCGTATACCTTTATTTCATATTTAGCCCTAACATTACCAAAAAAACCTGGTTCCGACTTTGTTTGTAAATGCTTTGACTTGGAAAAATAATTTTCTCACAGGTGATAATTCATTATCATGTTACAGTAACTGTATGTTATCTACCCCGTTTGGTTTAATTAATTTATTTATTTACACTTTATTTTATAAAACACCAGGTTTACCGTGTAGTGGCGGAGTAAGAATATCCACTACCCAATATCATCCTGTAGGTGTCATAAGACGCGACAGAAGGTATCAAACGAGGAGATGGGCAGCAGCGCCTTACTAATAACAAATAAAAATAAAATTAAACTGTGGTTATCAAACCGCTTGCCAAGCGTGGTAACTATGTCAAATATCCTTCCCTATGAAGCCATGTATGGGGGAGGCCTATATTCATGTGTGGACTTTTGATAAGCGACTCGGTGGCGTAGTGACTTAGCAATGAGTTGCAACGCTTGCGGCCGCGGGTTCGAATCCCGCAAGGAACAAGTATTTGTATGGCCTACAAATAATTGTTCCGGGTCTGGATGTTTGTCCTTGTGAAATGTATGTTTGTAAACTGCCTCCATGATACAGGAGAAAATCCTAGTGTGGGGGGTAACGCTTTTAAACAAATAAAAATTAAATGAAAATAAAAAATAAGCGTATTGTTATGTCTGTTATATCGAAATAACTGACTTCTATATTATGCTCAGGGGTTATCTGCATGCTATTAACCATATTTTAAATTATTGTATGTCAGTCTGTCTGTCTGCCCGCCTGTCTGCCTGGCCGGACTAATCTCCAAAATAGCTTAACAAATTGTAATAAAACTTCGCGAACAGATAGCAATTGCAAGATATGCAGGATTTGTAAACATAAACGAAAAACTGATAAAATTCTAATAACTATCTCATAAGCAATATTAAACAAAAATGTAAATAAAAAAACTTTATAGTCAACTTTAAACATTTTACCTTATGCCCCGTTTTATAACAAAATTTGAATATCTATTGTGTGAAATTAATAGATATTCAAATTTTATTAAACATTTTCCGACTATTGAGTTGGTTAACACAGGGGGAATACCCATCAATAAAATTTAAAAATTATAGTTCAGTATTTTGGATGGATTTTTCCATTAACTATCGCTTAGCGGGACCTCGTCCAACCAGCATTTTGGACAATTATTGATCTAGAATCTAGACAATAAATCTAAAGATGATGATCGCGCTATATAGTAATTCGTGTAGAATGAATACTATCTTTTTTTTTATGAAGATTATTCGAAAGAAGCCGCCATTGTTGAAAATCTGATGAAGAAGACAATTGCACCTACACTACTTTTATACTTAATCATAATATTACATGTTATTAACTGCGTTGTGTTGTACTTGAGTTGCCAACGGCTTAAAGTGATGTTGTATTGCAGATTTTCGACACTCCTGAAGGCCCGAAGAGTTTCCTCGTAGGTGTCGTATCTTTCGGTCCAACAGTGTGTGGTATTAAAAAACCTGGCGTTTACACATCCGTATTATATTTCCTTAAGTGGATATTAGATTATATAGGATAAAAAAAATTTAAAACATTAAATGTACAGAATTATTAAATTATAACACAAAATAAAATCTGGTCTTCTTCTTGCAACAATCCGCATCCCGTAATTATTTTTAATAAAGTTTTTAATTAGTGAATGATAAGCAATAATAAGCAGTATGAACTATATTCCACCAAAAATATCCTAAATGTGTAAAGAAGCCAATTTCGGTACCTACAACTACGGTCAATTTAAACAATTAACTTCTTTTAACATTTTCTGACGTCTTCTGCGCTTTTGTTCTGCCAGTGCCACCCTTTAATTGTTCTTATCCTTAAGGTCTAATCATTCTATCAGATTCTCAGTAATTACTAATATATCTATATATATTATTTATTTATTTACAAACGGTTTTAATCCAATTACAGTAATTAATAATTTCGAAAGGCACATGAAAATAAGCTATGCTATAACTAAATCTTTACTAAGAAAAAATACAATTTATATATCATTACTTTCGCAAAATCGTAAACAAGCTGATAACAACACATTCCAAGTATCCGCAAATATATCAAAGTCGGATGCGCAGTCCTCAGAAGAGCGTTGAATGCGCTGTGCATTCGACATAGTGGGGAATTAGCGCGCGATAGCGTGCGCGATGACGCCGTCGTGAATAATCAAAGCCAGCGAGATGACCTATATCGCAAGTAGTGGTCAGGCACATAGATCTTGCATAAGGTATTGTGAAGTTCGGGGGCATCTATTATGCCTATTAATATTTTGAGTGCAATAATAAGTATGTTGCGAGAACAACGAAATAAGTTAATAAATATATAATTACTCTAAGATCAGATCAGACAGGCATGACAGACAGGGAGACAAGCATGTAATAAAGTGATTCTCTCTGTTGGATATAGATTTTTTTTTTGGATAGGGTGACAAACGGGCACACAGTCCACCTGATGGTAAGTGGTTGCTGTGGCCCATAAACATCTATATCTATCTTCGATTACGAATCAAAATGCAGATGCGTCGTCACCCGTGAGGACTAGGATGGAATGCCTCTTTTCCAGCAAAATGGATCTCCGGTTCTCTACACTCACCATACGAAACACAGCAGTGTCAAGCTGCCATTTTACGGTGGTATTCTGTTTACTTGAAAGACGTTTTTATTAAAGTACTGTTCCTCGCGACTTTGTCCGCGTGAAATTTATTACAATTGGATTTCATGGATTTTTTGCGCGGAACCCTAATACTTTTTCTAAAACAAAAGTGGCGTAAGTTACTCCTTATTATATATCAGCTATTCCCCAGTGAAAGTCCCGTCGAAATCGGTCCAGCCATTTTTGAGATTATCCGGAATAAGATATAGAGACAGACAGACGAACATACAGACAGTCATAAATTTTAAAAATTGTTGTTTTTTTGTTATAAGTACCATACTTTCATATGCATTTAGTAAAATGCAGTTATTTTCGCATTACAGACACTTAAATTTTATTTAATTGTATAGATTAATATTTTCTCTGTGGGAATTTCTGAAGTAGAACGAATGGAATCTTGTATGATACTTTTTCCAAAAGTCATAAAGTAATTACATACTTAAGTAGCGCCAAAAACAAAGTACAATTATGTGATTTATAAAACCCACAGAATACATACATAATATTATACATACAACACAAATCACACTGGCTTATCGCACCGTGTACATATGTAGGTAAATTTATAATGCGCCGTATACGCACTATAGGCGATATTCTCTGTCAGTCTCAGTCAGTCTTTAATACCCATCACACGGCATTAGTCAGCATTCAGTGTGATCTAAACATAGTTAAATTCAAAGTGTTATAAAACGTGTACGTAACAATAAATATGATGAGAAACTGTCGCACAAACTGGATATTTCTTGTTGTCCTTGTGATTGGATCTTGCCGTAAGTTTTATTAATTAAAAGTTTCACTTGAGACTCTTTATATAAAAATGTGCGGTTTTTCTCTTTATATTTATTTATATGTTATTGTTATTGTTGTACCGTGTAGTAACAGTTTAAGAATATCCACTACCCAATATCATCCCGTGGGTGTCGTAAGAGGTGACAGAGAGAAACAAAAAACAAAAAAAAACAAGAGATTGGCAGCAGCGTCTTCCTATTAACTACTAAAAATACAAAACTACGGTTGCCAACCTGCTCGCCAAGCGTGGCAACTATGGCAAATATCATGATGCAGTCTATGGAGGACGCTCTATGTTTAACAGTGGACTTTAATAGGCTGTAACGGTAACGTTATTTATTCTGTTTATTATCGATCATGTGAAACTATCGTAAATCATTAGTAAGCCTTTCATAGAATTACTATAGTAAAATAGTACCTATATTTACAGAAACCTGTTAACAAGCATAAAAATAGAAAATTTAACATCGTGCATACATAGATGTATTTGTTTAACATTAAAATTATTTATATTATTATTGTATTGTAACGTATGAGTACGTCTTAAAACTTATTTTGTGAATTAGGGTGTTGGATGAAGGGGGACCTTCCTAATTATCAGCCCTACCCTTAATACCAGCGTTTAAGTCATTTTACGTCAATAATAAGGTTTCTAGTGGTATTAACTACAACAAGTTATGATCCCAATAAAATTAGTCTTCTTTTACATTATCTTTTCTTAAGACCTTCTGATTTGAATGAATATGATTAAAGACACAGTAATGTAGTTATTTTAAAATTAATTTATAAGTTTATTATTATTTTCTTTTAAAGTTAAAGTTACAGCATATATACATCCCACTGCTGGGCACAGGCCTCCTCTCATTTCTGAGAGGGTTTTAGGGCAAGTGAAAGTCCGCGCCGCTGCCCCAATGCGTGTTGGCGAACTTCACACGTCCTCGAAATATTTTTTTTCTTATTTCTCAGACATGTAGGTTTCCTCACGATGTTTTCCTTCATCGCCGAGCACGTGGTAAATAAGCACTTAAAATTTCAATTAACAATTTCATTGGGGATTATTTTCTTTTAGTTGGTATTAATGGAACTGTATTTAGATAGACGAAATATATCTTGTATATATAGAGGTCAGTGCATGGAGTGCATAATGGCAGCCTTCAGGCTGTTAGGCAGACCACATACATTCGGAATTCCGAACGCGGAAAATCCATATAAAATCAAAGATCTTTCACACACTTTTCATTCCAAATGTTCTACGATTTGAAATTCCGCATGAGACTGCCTGTGCGTTCAGAATTCCGCACGGAAATAAGCCGTTCCGAACGCAACTCTATGAAAGATTTTGTATGAGTCCCATTCAATGACGTTAAGTTTATACATCATTGGTCCCATTACCCATCCCATCACATATTCGTAAATTCCGTACAGAACGCGCCGAGTGTGCGTTACACGACCAAAGAGAGTAGGTGTGTTCATGTATATTTTTACGTGTAATCTTATATTTTTGTATCTCTTTTCGTAACCTTTCATCTTATTTTGTTTAATGATTCACCGAAAAGCTTTATAGATCTTTTTATGTAATATTGACTATATTGCAATCTTAGGGTGTTATGGGGATACTCCCAGTTACAATGATACAGCAATAATGGATTCGCAATCAGAAAATCGTCATCATTATTCGCTGGCAGAATGTCTAGACTCAATGGCTAGCGTCTCTCAAGTGAGCCTTGAGTCGAAGGGAAATAAACGTATGTGTGTGATGTATTTGCGGAATACCGAATCGGAATTCAGAAACGGAATCCAGAAACGGAATTCCTTATTTGGCCTTATTTGGTTTGACGTACCCATAGAACAGCACAGCCCACCGGCGCGGCGCGGCGTACCGTAGGAGTAGCCATAGGCAGGAGTTCCTCTTTGACAAAGTACTAAGTCCACGCGATAAAACGACGACAGTGCTAAGAAAGTTAAGATCAATTCGTCAGTGTTATAAAATTAGTTTTTAAATTGAAAGTTTAGCAAAAGATGTATTTGCTATATTTTATTTATTATCTGACATTTGTTTTACATTAATAACACCATAATGCTTCATTATTTTTTGAGAAAGACAAAAACAAGCAAAAACAATAATGAGTTAGTACAAAAACTCATAAAAAGAGAAGTGGCTAAGGGCCGTGCTTAGCGGAAATCTATGGGGGAACCATGTTGAGGTGTTGGCTTGCCATGGGTTGTAATGATGATGATGATTCCGAAACTTGGATGATTAATTTGTAAGAAAAATCGCACATCTTAAAACCAAAACACAGTAAGGTAAGTACGTAGTAAAACATTAAAATAAAATAATTGTTGTGTAAGCACTCGTATCTTAATTTACATTTTATAGGTTTTTAATAATTAATCTCAAGCTCATTTTTTTCATTTCAGAAATAACGCAAACCTTCATGCCATGTGCGAATAATAACACAAAATGCATTTTAATAACACAATGCAGATCAGCTGTAGAATTATTAAAAACCAGAAAAAATGACGAATTATTAAGGACAATGTTATGTGGAAACGCTAAGGGGAATCGTTTAGTGGATTCGATAAAGGTAACACCTAAATATTCCTTATAATTAAACAAGAATGTTCCTTAAAACTGTACACCCAGTGCGTGTTGCCAGTGATGACATACGGAACTGAGACGTGGTCCTTCACTGCTGGCCGGACGAGGAAGCTCAAGGTCGCTCAGCGAGCTATGGAGAGGGCTATGCTCGGAGTTTCTCTGCGTGATAAACTCAGAAATGAGGATATTCGCAGTAGAACCAGAGTGACCGACATAGCTCAACGGATTAGTAAGCTGAATCGGTTCTTCGAGCTAAATGGCCGGCCATATAGCTCGAAGAACCGACAACCGATGGGGAAGAAAGGTTCTCGAGTGGTAGTCTCGTACTGGCAGGCGAAGTGTAGGGCGTCCCCCCACTAGATGGAGTGACGACCTAGTAAGATATGCAGGAAGTCGATGGATGCAGGTGGCTCAGGACCGTGTTTTGTGACATTCTTTGGGGGAGGCCTATGTTCAGCAGTGGACTTGTGAAGGGCTGTAATGATGATGATGATGATGTTCCTTAAAAGGAACAAATTGAAGAGCTCAAGGTATAAAAAATCCAGTAGTTAGCAAGTTTATATTAGTTTTTTTTTTAATATGAATTTAAAAGCGAGTATTCGAGCCAGAAAAAATTATGATTTCACCCCCGCGACCCGCATGGAGACCACGGCGCAATAGGTGGACTGCGGTACTACAAACATTACTCGCTCGAGGTCATGTGCGGTCACGCACAGCTTAATGATAGATTGCCCGACGCCTCGTCCTGCTGGAGCCAAACCACCTTGTCTATGTCACCTTGATATGATTGTTGATGTCAATAGCCGGAACTCCATCGAAGTACTGTTGTACGACTTGGGTTCGAGAAATTCTTTGACAGTAGTAGTCGCGTCATTGTCTTATCGTATTTTGCGCGCTGGTGTTCCCGGCAAAGTTGTGCCACATGTGGCAACAAAATAGTGGATTTTCCGATCTTTCCAGGCTGTCGCAAGTACTTCAATGCCTTCTACTTTTTAAATGCCCTTACCGACATGGAAGCTTTTTTTTCTCGTGGACAATATTGTTGAAGTTGTTTTAAAGGAAACTTGGCATGGGCAGTTTTTACAATTCCAATAAAGATTAATCCAACTTTTCGTAATTCTATAGCGGTTTTTACTAACGCACACCACGAATCACCTACAACAATGCGACCAGTGCCATGCCAATGTTCAGTCAGTCTCAATGTAGTTGCTGCGCCAACTCCTAGCTGTCTCTACCATTTTTTCTCATCCATGCTGGTTTTTCCTTCATTGATTTGTAAGCCTAACATTATCCTTGTGTTACTATCAGTCAAAGTATAGACCTCACAGCCAACTCCTTTTAGTTTACGTTTTATTTTAATTACAGCTGGCATGCAGTCTTCAAAACTATTACGCCTACCGTACCAGGCAAACATTGATTCATCGACTGTGAGTTAATAAGAAGGCGTGAGTGTACATAACCATTGTTCATTTAGCATCTCGATAAGAAGACGAACTAAAGGCCAACGGTCAGTATTTGCTCTCTCATAGGTAAATGACAAATTCATAAAAAATTCTTCAAAGCGATGCTTACTCGTACCGAACCTTGTTTCAAATGCAGGTGCTGGAAAAAGTCCATCGTTATTAGTAGACCAATAGAGTCGTCTTTCTGGTAAAACATTTACACACATGGCATAAAGAATCCCGAAAATGTTCAATAATTCTTCAGCATTTAAAATGCGAGTATTGCTTCCGATTTTTGCATTTGTGAATCAAAGAATATCATCAATTTTGTTCACAGGAAAAAATAGGAGCCACATGTCAATTTCTCGAATGTTTTGGTTATTCAGATCAAGATGCAGACGGGGCCTGTACATAATATCCTTGTAATTATCAATATTAACATCTATTTTCATTTTCCAATCTACATTAACACCTCCAGAGGTTACTGTCACAATTGACTCTTCGACTTCCCTTGGAAAAGGAACGTTTTCTTCTTCTAATCTCGATTCAGAGGATGACGACGATGATGAAGATTCAGCATCAGCATCTTTGAGCTGCATCTGAGTTATCTCTTCACATCCTGGCGAAAATAATTCACAGTTTGTAAAAATGTTGACAATAAAATAAAATAAGTAAATTAATATTTTTAAGGGGTACAGGTTTCAATAAAAAGAAAGATAATAATGATGTACATAATTAAAAATTAGTATGTAAGTCCTAGGTACCGATTATTACTACACACCTCTTCAATCTAGGGTATGGATAAAAGAATCTCCTTAGGTACCTCCTTAGGTTACCTGCGCGGTATTTGCTTACTTAGGAAATACCGCTCATGGTGCGAACTAAGGGGTGGTAGATTTTACGCCGCTACCATACGGCGAGGAGCCGAGTCTGTCGTTTCGGCTTTGTCGCTCGTTTAGCACCACCCGGGGGACACGTGTAGGGTGGGCCTAGGATTAGGTGGTCGAAGCCTACGGACGCGAGCGACTCATACCCCGGCAGGGTCGGGAAGGGACGCCCTAGACGAAGGTTTATCGACCAAATCGGCGATACATTAAAAATGGACCAGATTAGGAGTACCCTTAACCGACGAGCGTGTATGCGTAGATATATGGATGTAAAAGAGGCGAGAGAGGTGTGTCAGGATCGCGCCAAATGGAAGTCCGTAGTCTCTGCCTACCCCTCTGGGTGACAGGCGTGAGTGTTTATGTATATGTATGTATATGTATGTAAATACCGCCTATTCAGTACAAATAAACAAACAAACAATTGAATCTTTCCTCTTCATAATATTTAAAACAAATATCTTTGAAAGCTAACTTAGGTTTTTTATACCGCAGCCGCACATAAAAGATTTAAAATGCACGTAAAATTATCTTTATTTAAAAAATTACAAAGCTGACTTACCGATATCGTCATTTGCAGGGTTTATATTATCAACAGATATGATTGAACATTGTCCATCAATGTCCCATCGCACACGAACTTTATTCTTCTCCAAAACTCTGACTATGACACCAAAAATCTCGCAATTTCTTGCACGGAACCCTAATTCTTTTTGTAAAATTAAATTAGCGTACGTTACTCCTCATACCATTAATTATCTGCCATTGAAAGTGCTGTCAAAATAGGTCCAGCCGTTTCAGAGACTAGCCGGAACAAACAGTCAGACAGAGAGACGGACAAAAATTTAATAAAATGTTTTTTGTCATAAGTACCGTATATATATTATACGTGGTAGAGCCATGCTGCAGCTAGTAGTATAGTTGTAGCACGAATGCGTCGGCTCGACCGGGGAAGGACCACGCTGTCACAGAATACCAGCGTAAAATAGCAGCTTGTCACTGCTGTGTTTCGTATGGTGAGTGTAGAGAACCGGAGACCCTTTTTACTGGAAAAGAGGCATTCCATCTTTGTCCTCACGGGTGACAACGCATCTGCATTTTGATTCGCAAACGAGCATAAATGTAGATGTCTATGGGCCACAGCAACCACTTACCATCAGGTGGACTGTGTGCTCGTTTGTCACCCTATCCTATAAAAAAAATACTTTCATATGCATTTAGTAAAAGGCTGTCATTTTGACATTACAAACAGACACTTCAATTTTATTTATTTGTATAGATGACGATCCTAAGCCCGTTTAAAGTAAGGAGGGAAAATTGGAATCTAATTACACGTCGCGTAGTTATCAACTTAGTTGTGAGCGTGTCATTAAGGAAGTAAATAATAGCTGTGATAATAGGCAAAAGCTCCGTGCATTGACTCGTAAACACACGAGCGTGCGTACGCTGTAGTTGTTACCCATAAATCACATTCAATTTCGGATATTTTCAAATAAACGTAGAAACCTTATTTACGCGTATTAGGCTACGCACAGACGGAGCCGCGACGGGATCACTGTGCGATATGAGAGGAGGCTAATCCTCAACAATGGGATGTTTTACACTGTAACTTTACTTTTTAATAATATTATAAGACATTGTAATTATGTGAAAACTAAACTTAAAATATTTACAATATTTCAAATATTTTAAGTTATGTTTTTACAAGTAAAATTATGTTAAATTGTACATATAAATAATTTATTTCTTTATAGGTGTGCTGCCCCACGGATAATCAGATAGTTTTTCCTAATGATACAGAGACTGTGACTAACAGATTTACAAACACTACTACGCCAAAAGTTCCTACAACAACCGTGGAAGAGTTAACTACGCTTTCAGTGTCTGATACAACGTTACGAAATGTAAAGACAGATAATTTACCTAGTAGAAAAATATGTGGTTTTGGTGGTTTCGGTTTAGACAGAATTGTGAATGGTGTGATCGCTGCTATTGACGAATTTCCATGGTTAGTTCAAATTAAAACTAAAACAAGTAAGTTTAAACTTAAACAATACTTTAAAAAATGTAAGTCCTACTAAAAATCACATTCTCCTCCTGTTTTAACGTTCCAAAAGAAAAGGAAATCATGCTTCAGTAGCGAGAGAGAGATATTATTTCCACTCCCTGTTTAGTGGAAGACCTATACCCTCCGCTTGCCATTACAAGGCTGCCAGTCGAGAACCTTTTATTTTTATCTTTGCCGTCGGCAATTTAGCCGAAATGCCGAACCATTAAAAATTCAGCTTACTGTTCCTTTAGGCAATGTCGGTTAATAATGATGATTCTACTGCGGATATCTTCCTAACAAGAATAACATGATTTCCACATAACAGATTTTGAAGTGAGACTGTATTCATTATTACACTGTATACTAGCGCCAACTTCGGGTTTTTATTAATTCTTTAATGCATCCCTTCATCTAAAATAATACAAAGGGCGGACTTAATGCCTTGAGGCATTCTCTACCAGTCAACCCATGGAGTGGTGAGAATTTAACGTACGTGTACCAATATAGATTAAAAACAAAATAAAAATTATAATTAACTACGTACATAATATATACATTTAACTAATATATAAAATATAGAAATTATTATATATTATTTCTATTTACACACACATATATATATATATATATATATATATATATATATATATATATGAGATATTTCTATATTTTATTTATGTATACGTACATATACAACATGTAACAAAAACCCCGTGGTGAGTTAAGTAAGTTATCAGGATCAGTATTCAAACCTATAGAAATAACTTTTTTTTTAAAACTCGACCATATTTTTTTATTGTATTAAAAATTTATAATTTTATGTGGGTTTTAGCCGATGATAAAGCTAAGTAAAACGGGGTATTTGACAATCCTCTTACTCCCCAGACAATGCAGAGGTAATAAAACAATTAGCATACAATTATTTTTTTAAAATAAAATAAAAAAAATATTGTTCGAGTTTTTAAAAAAAAGTTATTTCTATACTTTTGAATAATGATCCTGATAAGGTACTTAACGGGAACCACAGGGTTTTTGTTACATATTGTATGCGTCTAACAATATAAATGACATGGATGATTCATATAAGAAGCGTTGTCATCATGTCATCTATTAGATGAATACGCACCAACTTTTTAAAAGCAAACTTAGTGGGAGCTTTTACTTTTTATTAAAAGTTAAATTGTCCATATTTTCTTAACATAATATCCTTTTGCAAATTTTCCATTGCAGTTTTAACGAATTATTAGTTTCAGTGGAGTTGTTGCAACTCACACGTATTTTACAAACTACTTGATGCTAATAACTTTTTTATTAGTTTGAAGTTGATGCATATTGATTCAATGACGATTTCATCAATGATAGGCAAAGCGGACAAGGACTTTAAAAGAACATTGTTTTGTACTAAAATACAGGAGCAAAAGTATATATTCGGGGAAGTTTTAGTTTTTATCAAAATTTTACAATGTTCATTTTTTTTTAGAAATTGGATCGGAAGAAAAATACACTTGTGCCGGTTCTTTAATAACAGATAGATACATATTAACAGCTGCTCATTGTCTCTTCAATAAAACTGCGTAAGTAGTTAGTTATCCATAAATAATATAAATAATAATAAATATTAATTCTATACTCTGTCGCAAATCGTTCGTTCCTCGTAAAACCTTTATAACCGAGGTGTTTGCGGATGAACGATTGATGTTTATCTTAATTTAAATTATGCAGTATTAATGTTGGACCTCATTGATTACATGTGCCATATGATTGCATTTAGTCTGCGTTCCGAATGCTATTATAATGTGATAGGTCATGGAAAAAGTTTCTTCGTATTTCGATTGTATAAAATTGAAAAAATATATCTTTGGTTGTACTATTTGTATCTGGCTGGTTTTAATATCAATACATCTAGGATATTAATAAAAAGAAAAAAAAACACTATACACCAAACTGAGTGAATCTAAGGAAAAAATTCGATAAATTCTGAAGTTTTATTACAAAAAAGGGAAAACTGCGACTCACACCACGAAAAAAAAACTGTCACGTTTATTGAACTAATGCAGTGTCAGTAAGAGTAGCATAAAGTTGATACTAGCGTTTCCAGCCCGGGAATTTTATGTCAAAGATGTAGCTCGCTCTGGCCGCACTCATACGGATAAAGTCGATGCCATTTTTGAAAAATTAGAGCAAGATCGGCACATTAGTAGTTACGACATGGACGAGGAATTGAAGATTGACCGCAAAACATTTTTGACCCATTTCAAAAAGTCTGGCTATACAAAGAAGCTCGATATTTAGGTACCACACGAGCTCATTGAAAGTCACCTAATGAATCGTGTACTCGTTTGTGATTCTCTATTGAAACGTAATTAAACCGAACCATTTCTGATAAAATTGATCACTGGTGATGAAAAGTGGATCACCTACGACAAGAACGTGCGAAAACGATCATAGTCAAAGAGTAGTCAAGCTCCACAAACTGGCGAAGCCCGGATTAACACGCAATAAGGTGATGCTGTGTATATGGTGGTACTGGACGGGCATCGTTTATTATGAGCTTTTACCGCCGGGCAAAACCATCGATTCGGATCTCTACTGCCAACAATTTATGAGTTTCAAGCAAGAAATTGAGAAAAAATTGCCGGAATTGATCAACAGAAAAGGAGTGAGTTTTAATTATGATAACGCCAGACCACACACATCTTTGACCACTCAGCAAAAATTTAAAGAGCTTGGTTGGGAAGTGCTAATGCATTCACCATATAGTCCTGACCTTGCAACCTCAGATCTTCACCTGTTTCGGTCCCTTCAGAATTATTTGGATAGTGTTAAGTTAACATCAAAAGAGGATTGTCAAAACTACTTGTCGCATTTTTTTAATCAAAAATCCCAAGATTTTTACAGCAACGGGATTATGTCACTACCTACAAGATGGTAACAAGTTATCAAACAAAATGGCACATATATATATATATATATATATATATATATATATATATATATATATGTAATTTAACTTTAAAATGTCTTGAATTTGTATATATTATTATACGAAGAAACTTTTTCCCCGACCTAATATTTATTATTTTTTCAGTGTGAGTGTTCGGTTAGGAGAATGGGATACCGAAACGAAGCACGACTGTCAAGAAAGCTATTGTAGTGACCCTCCATTAGATATATACATTGATGATATCATCATACATCCGTTTTACGATAAAAAAACATTCACTGCCGATATTGCGCTTATACGGCTTGAAAAAGTCGTTAATTTTACAGGTATTTTACATGTAGTCGTTTATTGCTTTGTATAATTACAATAATGACCTCCTATTAGACGTAATCATCATTCTTCTGTTCAGAATTTATACGTCCAGTGTGTTTGCCAAATACAAAATACACGATGGAGCAAGATTACGTGATTGGGACTGCTTTCTGGACTGCAGGATGGGGTAAGACAGAATTCGGTAAGTTGAGCATAGTTTCAGCGTCACAGCGCGTAGGCAGCGCTCCGTCTATATTTCTTTGTTGGTCTGAGATTAATATTAATGATAATGTATCCAGCCTCAGATTTTGTGGTTTCCTTTTTTTCATAGATTAATGATAAGTCATCGCGCGCTCTGACTGTCTGTCTGTCAGAGCGCGCGATGACTTATTATTAATCTATGCTTTTTGTAATGTTTTTGTATTGTCTTTATTGTATCGAAACCAGCAATAATTCTGTATTATAATCGTCCATTCATTCACACTTATTATGCCGGCTAATTTAAATAAACGCTTATTGCAGGTGAACCATCAATTATTAAACGTAAAGTAGACTTGGATGCAGTCTCCATAGATGTATGCATTGAAAAATTGCCTATTGTTAAAAGCCTAAACCCTCAAAATGTTATTTGCGCGGGCGGCAATAATGGTAAGGACACATGTACTGGAGATTCGGGTGGATCTCTGGTGAAAGAAGTAACAGAGGATTTTCATACCAATTGGTTCCTCTACGGTATTACCAGTATAGGGTTAGCTGAATGCGGTGGAGGTATTCCTGCAGTATACACTAGAATAGTATCATATATGGACTGGATAATTCAAAATATTAGTGAGTAATGGTTTCACAAGAAATTCGTTACGCATAATGTACCATTCAATCATGTAACAATATAAACATGATGAAAAGATTTGAATTTCGATTTTTTTTAATAAAAAAGAAACAGTAATTATCTGCACGACGATAACGAAATTGACATTAAATTATAAATACAGTATTATTCTTTCATAGACCAGAAACATAACTATAGCAAAAGTGAATGTTTTAATGCTATTCCCAAACTCCGCAAAAATTTTTCATGGGCGAGTAAATACAATCCTCGAAAAATATTTTATAGTTAAGTAAACATATATTTTTTTGAAATAAACACAATAAGCGTCTGTAAAAAGTTTTTTTTTATAAAATAAGGGTGACAAACGAGCACACAGTTCACCTGATGGTAAGTGGATGCTGTGACCCATAGACATCTACATTTATCCTCAATTAAGAATCAAAATGCAGATCCGTTGTCACCACTCAGGACCAAGATGGAATGCCTCGTATCCAGTAAAAAGGGTTCTCCGGTTCTCTACACTCACCATACCAAACACAGCAACATTAAGCTGCTACTTTACGCTGGTATTTTATGAAAGCGTGGTCCTACCCCGGTCAAACCGATCTATTCATGCCACAACCATAGTATAGCTGCAGCGTGGCTCTACCACGTACAAAATTAATCAATTATATACCCAGGATGACCATAAATTTTGTTACACATTAAAATTATTTTATAAGAAACAGTGTAATAATCCTAAAACTTATATGCATATATTATGTAAGTGTAATTGATTAATCTATACAAATAAATAAAATTGAAGTGTCTGTTTGTAATATTAAAATAACAGCTTTTTACTAAACGTATATGAAAGTATATACGGTACTTATAACAAGAACACAATTTTTAAAAATTTTGTCTGTCTGTCTGTCGGTCTGTCTGTCTGTCTGTCTGTTTGTTCCGGCTAATCTCCGAAACGGCTGGACCGATTTTGATGAGACTTTCACTGGCAGATAGCTGATTTTATAAGGAGTAACTTAGGCTACTTATATTTTAGAAAAAGAATTAGGCTTCCGCGCAATATAATTAGAACCCGAAATTACACGCGGGCGAAGTCGCGGTGAACAGCTAGTTAATAATAATTTTATTAAAGGGTTCTTTAGCTTTGATACAGGCCTGTAATCTCTTTACCCAGAATTTATGGATTAACGCACTGTCTATTTAGGGAACTAAGCCGATAGCTCATAAACATTCTTGCGAGATTTAATGTCGGAGTAACATTTTGAGCAGGTCATGACCCCGATACAGATCTCAATTTGTAGTTCGACGAATAGAGATCTGGTCTGTACCAGTGCCAGTGTTTTAGTTCTTATGAAGTGCAGAATATTGTTCTCGGGCCAGGTTTGATTTGTTCGTGCCTTGTGACTAGGGGCAGAGCAAAGTGTTACTATAAACTTAACGGTACCTTTTGAATGTGTATCACTGATAGACCGTTTTAAAACAGACTCGTGACAAACTTTAGCCACAGTTTTCGTTACCTTTAGACACCCTCTCCAAACCATAGCTAATGCCGGATGATGACCACGTCGAACCTTTTCAACACGTTGCAATGCCTCTTAAGAGCTGTGATCATTTAGGGCTAAGCGGCCACCAGCTCCGTGGATAACGAAGGGTGTGCGCATGGCGATGACTCGACGCAACCGAGCTTTCAGAAGGTTTAAGCGTGACAGGAGCAATGAGAATTGGGACTTGTACAAAATTGCTCGCAATCGTTGCAACCAAATGGTAAGGGCGGCAAAGCGTCGTTACTTCTTTGACAATATATCTAGTGCTTCTTCGGCGGATACTTGGAAATTTCTTAATTCTCTTGGTCTATGTAAATCCTCCACTATGAAACATAACATCCCATTCCCTCTAAATGACATAAATTCCTATTTTTCTACAGGTTCCTCACTCTCTCCAGTTATTAAGTCCCAGCCAATCTTAGAAATTAATTCCAAGGCCAAACCTTTACAAATACCCTTCTTATTCTCGCTTGTCTCTGTTAACGATGTTCGTAAAACATTTGCTTCTATTAAATCAAAAGCAGTGGGTTGTGATAATGTGAGTCGTGCTATGATCTCTTTAGTTCTCGAACTCTTTCTTCCAGTCATTACTCACATCATTAATTTTTCTCTGTTGTCAGGGGTATTTCCTTCTTTGTGGTATAAAGCCTATATAATTCCGCTTCCTAAAATTTCAAACCCCTTGCAACTCAATAATTATAGACCTATTTCTATTCTTCCATTCTTATCAAAGATCCTGGAATCTGTAGTTCACCGGCAAGTATCAGGATTTATATATAATAATAACTTGCTCACTCAATTTCAGTCGGGCTTTCGTCCCGGACATAGCACCACCACTGCACTTCTTAAAGTTACAGAGGACATTCGGGATGGCTTGGAGAATAGAAAGGTCACTGTGCTTGTTCTCGTGGACTTTTCTAATGCCTTCAACATGGTTGACCATGATATTCTCCTCGCTATGCTCGGTAATCTAAACTTCTCCTCCATTGCTTTAAATTGGTTCTCCTCCTACCTTTGTGGTCGCCAACAAGCTGTTCGAGTTGGTAATCATTTGTCTGACTGGTGTCAGCTTGTATCTGGGGTGCCACAGGGTGGAATATTATCTCCTTTATTGTTCTCTGTTTTTATTAACTTCCTTTCCTCTCAACTTTGCTGCTCTTACCATTTCTACGCCGACGATTTGCAAATTTATACTCAGACTGATGTGGATCACATTAATAATGCTGTTATCAATATTAATACAGATTTATTAAATTTAAGCAATTGGGCTAGCAAATTTGGCATTCTAGTGAATCCTAACAAATGCCAAGCAATTTTGATAGGAAGTCTCGTCAGTTATCTAAACTTGATATTTGTTCTGTCGCTCCTGTCATGTTTGATGGATCATGCATCCCTTATTCCAGCACTGTGAAAAACCTAGGCCTCTGTATGGACTCAACTCTCAATTGGTCCACTCACATTCAAACAATAAGTGCTTCAGTTACTGCTAAGTTGGGTGCCCTAAATCGCCTTAGAAACTTCCTTCCGGTCAAGGTAAAGATAACTCTGGTGCAGTCTCTTATTTTGCCCATTATTGATTACGCTGATGTGTGTTGTACTGATCTTAATGTGAACCTTCTAGACAAGCTGGATCGTCTCGTAAATAACTGTGTCCGATTCATCTTCTGTCTTCGCAAGTTTGACCATGTTTCCTCCTTTAGATTTCAGCTAAATTGGCTTCCCATTCGCCAACGGAGGCAAGTCAGGACACTTCTCACACTTTTTTCTATTTTATTCGACAATCGTTGTCCCGACTATTTGAAACGTAAGTTTCAATTTCTATCTGATACGCATAATAGACCTCTACGTTCTTCGGAGACTCTTACGCTCTCCATTCCACTTCACCGTTCCGGTTTTTCTTCTTCCACGTTTGCTGTACGAGCTGCGCGACTTTGGAATGCACTGCCTGAAACTTTGAGACAACGCTCCAACAAAATAACATTTAAAAAGTATGTTAAAGAACATTTTCTGAAAGTCGTAAAGAACTCCTAAGTTGGCGTCACCATCTTAGTTAATCTGTGTTAATAGCTAATTTCATCATAATATGTTTTTACGTATATATGTATATTTGTGTGTATATATGTATTTATATGTGAATTTGTGTATATATATATGTGTGTATGTGGTTTGTATATATCATCATCATCATCATTACAGCCCTTCACAAGTCCACTGCTGAACATAGGCCTCCCCCAAAGAATGCCACAGAGCACGGTCCTGAGCCACCTGCATCCATCGACTTCCTGCATATCTTACCAGGTCGTCACTCCATCTAGTGGGGGGACGCCCTACACTTCGCCTGCCGGTACGAGGCTGCCACTCGAGAACCCTTCTTCCCCATCGGTTGTCGGTTCTTCGAGCTATATGGCCGGCCCATTGCCACTTCAGCTTACTAATCCGTTGGGCTATGTCGGTCACTCTAGTTCTACTGCGGATATCCTCATTTCTGAGTTTATCACGCAGAGAAACTCCGAGCATAGCCCTCTCCATAGCTCGCTGAGCGACCTTGAGCTTCCTCATCCGGCCAGCAGTGAAGGACCACGTGAAGGACCACGTGAAGGACCACGTATATATATATATATATATATATATATATATATATATATATATATATATATATATATGTATGTATGTATGGTATATGTATTTTTTTTTACCTTTATGTTTATATGCTATAATTTCTAAATTCATTATATTTCTTATTCTTTACTGTTATGTATTATAATAACCGCCTTCTATGTTTTTCCACTCCTCAAGGTTGACAGGCAAAGAATGCTTTAAGCATTATGTCCGCCTTTTGTACTTATATATTTTATAAGGTTCAAAAAAGTTAAATAAATAAATAAATAAATCATACACTATCACATTTTGCTTAATGTAATGTTCTCTTACGTATTGGGACAGCAAGACTTTTAATCGATCCATTATCTTGAACTGCAGAGACTAATTTAGAGAATTTGTTGATCTTATTTAATAATTAACGCAATATTATTTTTCTTTACTTATGAGGCTTCGCCGAAATTTGTCTTTAACAATGTTCACATTTCACAGCCTGTCATGTGCTGTGAACATTGTCAAATATGAAAAAAATATGATTGTATAACACTACAATAAAATGAGAGTGTGAGCATACACAGGTCTAAAGAAGTGTCGCCATTCGCTGCATCATTCTCGATCATGACCCATGGTTTGGTGAGGGTCACAGTTATCACATGATAGTTGACATACATACAGACAGACATATTGTGACAGTTATTATGATGCTTCATTATGTTAGAAAGGAGTACAGACGTCGGTCAATATCAAGAGATTGTCTTGGATCGTATAGTGAACCTGGCTCTTGCAATATTCCGAACGGCTCAAACCTGCCTCAAGAACAATGTTCCGGACTTCATAAGAACTCACTATCGGAGACCACGTATTAAAATAAGGTGATCATTATATTACAAGGATTTCTGATAGTCGACGTATAAAAATACTAGTAAAATAATATAACGTCTGGAGACGACACCATCTAAAATTGACACCATTGAAAATTGCAGCGCTTGAAATATCCAAACAGGTTTGAAAAAGCAGTGTCCAAGATAGTATTTTATACTTTCTACATGTGTATGTGCATATTTGACCCACAAACTGCGTATACCTATACGCAGTTTGTGGGTCAATGTGATACCTATCTATCAAAAAATTTACTTTCGTGACGATAATTTCTTAGCTATCAGGGCAGCCGCCAGCCGCCAGCCGTTTGTTTTGATCTTATATAAAACACTGTTTATTTTGTACTGTCTCGATCTTTACTGACCCATGTTTTAAAAGAGAAACGTTACACAGAATAAGCTAAATGATTATTGTACTTATATTTAACATTATCAAGTATTTACATTGTGTTTTTCAATATAAATGTTTTATATCAAACTAGTTTCTAAATATTAAATTAATATTGATAGCGTTCAAATTAAGATGTGAAGATCGTCTGCTTTGAGAAATAATATGTGCACCAACATATAAAAAGGATATTCACGATGTAATATAAAACTTTACAAGCAGCTTCTATCGACACTGTCAGTCACATCCTCTGAATTCTCAAACAATTTATCGTCTTTCTCAATTTTATCGATACACTTTTGCCCATCACTATCACAACCGTCGCTTGGTGTGGTCATCTGATATGTTCGGTTTTTTCGACTGTATCGTTTCTTGTTTGAGCATTTCCTTGGTGATAATTGAATGCTCACACCTGCTGAATAAGAACGAGGTGCATAGTATCTTTCAAATAGAAGTGGCTGCTGTTGAACTCTTCCATACATCAATTCCATCTCATGAAGGAATTCCTCCCGACGCATTCTCTCCTCATCACGCCGCGTCTGTAACCGAATTGCAATCTCTTCTTCATGACTGAAAATAATACAACAATTTTATCACATGGAAATTTTATTTGCTTTATTCTCCTTTTCTTTGTTTTATACCGTGTGTGTAGTGGCGGTGTAAGAATATCCACTACCCCATATCGCCCCGTGGATGTCGTATAAAGCGACAGAGGAATAAAAACCGAGAGATGGGCAGCGGCATCTTTTTATAATAACTAAAAAAAATACGACTATGGTTGCCACAACACGCCTGCCAAGTGTGGCAACAATGGTAAATATCCTATGTGCAACAGAGGACTTTTAATAGGCTGTAACGGTTTTTCTCGTTTGTCTAATGGTTGTTAAAACGGCTACTTATCATGTGGTTACGGGTTAGAAACCTGAGTCCGAGCTAAAATCAGTGATTGAGTTTTTTGTCAAGAAATTCTCGCTAGCAGCCCAGAGTCAAGAAGCTGGCGGTGTTTACTCCCGTGCCTCAGAAAGCACGTAAAACAGTAGGTCTTGCACCTTATCTCCGGTCGTATCGGATTACCGTAATGTTGGACTATGGGAGTGAAGGAATAGGGGGTGCACCGCACACATACGCACACACTTGGGCACTATAATCCGGTCTTGCGTAGATGGCTAGGTTCCGTTGAGATTGGACGCCGTGACCAAAAATTCAGTTTGGCGAACATTATTATTTGGGAGCAAATAAATCAACTATAACATATAGTATCCATATATTATATACCAAAAGTGAAAAGCTTAACATGTAGTATTTATCATTCCATTATCCATCCATTCATTACAGCCTATACATAGTCCACTGCTGAACATAGGCCTCCCACATAGACTGCCTCATAGGGAAGGTTTTTCATAGTTGCCACGCATGGCAACCGCAGCATTTTATTACTTCATTGTCATCAGAAAGACGCTGCTGTCCATCTTCTGTTCTAGTTTCCCTCTGCCATCTCTTACGACCATCGATATATATGTACTACGTACTAGATTTCGCATTCCGAACATACACTATGTTCAACTGAACTGTACTGCAATCCGTACAGTGTGTCATTTAGTGTCGTTTCAATCTACTAGTTAGTCTGTGGTTTCATTATACATGCAATGTGGAGCGGCGCTAATAATACAATATTTCAAATTTAAATTTAAATTAAAAACTGACGCAACGCATTTAAATCAATTACATGCATGCGCGACTCTACTATCTCCCGCGCATGCGCGAAGACATAGAGTAATGCACATTTTTTGCTTAGAATGGCTTCTCTAGTACGTAGTACATATTACTCAATGCTTACGACACACTGGTATGGGGTAGTGGAAATTCTTACAACGCCACTACATGGTGTATTTATCATTAACACCATTCAACAGTGTAAGTACATGGTGGTGCCTCGCTACAAAATGTTAAGTCTACAGCACAAACGTCTCGACCGGTAAAAGAACCACGATCGAACAAAATGCTAACGTGAAAACAGCATAATACTGCTGGTTCTCGTGACGTGAACTGTAGACCTCTTACCAGTAACGAGCTATTCCAACTTAGACCTCACGTGTGACAACACATCTGCATTTTGGTTCTTATTAAACGATAGATGAAAGTATCTATGGGCCGCAACTTTCTTTCACATCAGGTGGAATGTGTGAACGTTTGTCATTTTAACCTCTATTAAAAAATCTTCCATCAATGGATAAAAAACGTGGTAGAGCCATGCTGCAGCTATAGTAATTGTATAGTTGTAGCACGAATGGGTAGGCCCAACCAGGGAAGGACCACGCTCTCACAGAATACCAGCGTAAAATAGCAGCTTAATGCTGCTGTGTTTCGTATGGTGAGTGTAGAGAACCGGAAACCCTTTCTACTGGAAAAAAGGCATTTCATCTTATTCCTCACGGTTGTCAACGCATATGCATTTTGATTCGTAGTCGAGGATAGATATAGATGTCTACTAGCTTTTTACCCGCGGCTTCGCTCGCGTGAGCTTGAATTTAGGAACGCCATTAAATGCTGTTCCGTGGCAAATTTAGAAAAATTCGATCGCTTTTAGAGTCACCTCAGTGTCTGTGTCTCTATGTCTGTCAAAGATTTTTTTTTAATTCTAAAAGACTATTAGACGTACATTATGCATAGATTATGTATATTTGGCATAGATATAACATGCTACAGGAACACGTGAATGTACCTATATGTATAGAAAACACTTACTATTTTTTATATCAGGCATGTATTTCGATGTATCCATAAGAAAGGTAAATTGTCTCGGAATGAAGATGTATTATTATCTATTATTTACATTTTACTCTTTACATTAATTTATTTACTTAAATTTAATTAATTAGTTTTAACAAAATAATGATGAGTTTCATGGTCTTCTATCAATTTACGGGATAATGTTTATTTTAGATATTTTATATTGATCGGCACCATAAAATAGATGTAAATATTTTTTTTTTACGTTCGAGTAGACTATAAAATTTCATAAATGCAGTTCTATAGCGATGAATACAGTATACATCATTATAGAACTGCATTTATGAAAATATAAAATTTAATATACAGTATACTATACATGGAATAAAACTAATGTTACGGATTTTAACACGTAATTTTAACTTCTTTACGTGGGGTTTTTTTACGCATCTTTGGATGAAAGTTCCATAAAAACCCGCTTAAAAGAACACATCGTTGATGTGAAACACCGACGCTCCGGGAAGTCTAAAGTATGTCAACAGGTTTAGTATCGTCCCAACCATTATATCGGATCTGATATACAACAAATCCTTGCAATAGAACACCAATTCCTACCAATGATGATTCACGAGCCTTTTGAAATTAAAAATATCCTAATTTTAAAATGGAAGATGGCTGAGTGCTATCATCTGCTAAGGACCCTATCTATACAAATAAATAAAATTGAAGTGTCTGTTTGTAATGTCAAAATAACAGCTTTTTACTAAATGTATATGAAAGTATATACGGTAGGTACTTATAATAAAAATAGAATTTATAAAATTTTTGTCTGTCTGTTTGTTCCGGCTAATCTCCGAAACGGCTGGACCTGGCAGATAGCTGATGTTATAGGAAGTAACTTAGGCTACTTATATTTAAAAAAAAACGATTAAAGTTCCGCGCAACATAATTAAAATCCTAAATAACACGCGGGTGAAGTCGCGGGGAACAGCTAGTAATTAATAAAATTAAATTCAAACCCAAGCATACTATTATTGCATTTATTGTATTCATTTCTATTTTTATTCTATTCTATTCTATTCTAAATATGATATTAGGTCGTCAAACACCTTAGTCCTCCTGTGACCATGGGTACTGTAAAGTGCCCAAAACATCGGGAATTAAAAAAGTTTAAATTAAACGCGATAAAATCCTTAAAATTAGTTTCATTGCTTATAAATTTTATTCACAGTGAACGTGGGAATCACTACACTCACGAACGGGAGTAGAAAAATATTCCAAATATCCAACTACTTGACAATTTATGGGGGAGGCCTATGTTCATTTCAGTGGACTTTTGATAGGCTGACGATAATGAGTTCTACTCATTTTTGCAACCCTTAATATTTACGGTAGAGTGAAAATAAAAAATTAACATACTCGAAAATATGAATGAAATAAATACTGTATATACTATTGCCCCGTGAAAAGTAAAAAAGTAGCAGCTTACATACTATTGGGCACAGGCCGCCGAGTTTTTGGCCAAAAGTCTTCGCTGCGCAATTCCAACGCGGGATGTCCTCAACTGCGAAACTTCTGTTTTCCTTTACCGCCAAAAATGTGGTAAATTGACATTCCAAATTGCAATTCAAATATATGCTAAAATATATAATAATGCTTACGTACCATGAAATTTAAGTTTTAATTAGTTTGATTACTGCCATTGACAAGTAAAATAAAATGAACCTTTGTTTAAGTAAAACCGGCTTTCTTTAATTAGTAAGTAAGTATTTTCCCGCAATAGCCTGTTCATTTACATTTAGGTATTCATCTTATCTTTCATATAAAGGACAATTTCATAGGAATTTTCATAGGAAGGACCACGCTCTCACACAAAACCAGCGTAAAATAGCAGCTTAACGCTGCTGTGTTTCGTATGGTGAGTGTAGAGAACCGGAGACCCTTTTTACTGGCAAAGAGGCATTCCATATTAGTCCTCACGGGTGACAACGCATCTGCATCTTGAGTCTTTATTGAGGATAGATGTAGATGTCTATGGGTCACAGTAACCACTTACCATCAGGTGGACTGTGTGCTCGTTTGTCACCCGATCCTATAAAAAAAAAATAACATCTTAATGTGTTTGAAAATATGAAAGCTATTTTAATTTACAAACTGATTTATAAGTCTCGTTAAAGGTAAAAAAAGTAAAGTAGCAGCTAATATACGTCTCACTAATGTCCACAGGACTCATCATTACCTATAGTTTTTTGTAGGCAGAAAAATACAATATACTGCAATGCTTTAATGCATATTAACTGTTTTTACATCTCCACGACTACTTTAATTACTCAGACATCTTGGTTTCTCCACGAAGTTATTCGTTACCACTTTAACGGACACGTGTTAAGTCAGCACGTAAAGTTTTCTATAACAGTTTTGCTCCCGTGCTACGATGAAATCTCACGGCGAGAGCTACACGGCCCTCATATTTGTTTAAATGTAATTTCTTAAAACTGAAACTAAGCTTATGATTGTTGACCACATCTACCTAGTAATTACCCTTCCAACGATGCCACGAACAAATTTTCAATTATTTACATCGTAATTCAGTAACATTCTATTATTTAATGAGGGCTAATAATCTTCCACTCACCAGATGTCGCTAGTTGTGACTGAGGTAAAGTTTTCGTTACATAGTGTCAGTTAATTGAGAAATTAGTTTTAAATAATAGTTTATCATTATCTAGAGTATTATATTAATATACAACACTGAGTCAGTGGTTTGATTTTTAATTTTTTGCACTTTATAACCTTTTTTAATTTTTCTACTTTGAGTTATATTTATAGTTTGGTTTATTCATTTCTAATCTAATTAATATAATTTTTTTGTCAAGCTACATCATGAGATGGTCAACAAACAATGCTAAATATCATGAAATGACCACACCATTTCACGAAATGATAGACTACTTTATGATAGGTATATGATCAATTCTACGATCTGGTCACGACATATATAAAAATATGTTTAATAAAGCTATAAAGATAATGAAAATTTTGCAATAATTGCAAACAGACCAGTTTTAATCAGTTTACATATAGATTAGTATAATTGAAATAAAAACCTTATCAATTTTTATATTTTTGATAGATGTCACTATTATCTATTGACATTATTACACTTTTAAAATAAAATAACAAAAATACTAAAAAACTAAACGTTACAATTTTTAAATAATTTTAAAAATCTTATTATCTAAACATATACATAATTTTATTTATATTATTTAATTTATTGGTAAATGAAGGCAAAACATACTAATTTTTCTATTTGATGATAGATGGCGCTATTTTGATAACTACATCGGTGTATTTTACCAAGTTTATAACTATATTTTAAACTTTATTTATAAATTATTTATAAATATGGTATATGGTATTATTAATATTTGATTTATAAATATTTGAAAAACACCCGTTATCCCGCCTATAACTAATATGTAATAGAAAATTAACATTTTAAGGAAGGAAAATACTTAACCTTCTTTTTTCGCAGTTCTGTAATCGGATAAAAAGTAGCCTATAAGTTACCCCGGGTTACTAACTACCTACATACAAAATTTTATGTAAATCGGTCCAGTGGTTTTTGCGTGAATCCGGAATACACAGACAGACAGACAGACAGACAGACAGACAGACAGACAGACAGACAAAAATTCTAAAAACCACTGATTTGGCTTGAGAACCCTTTATTTAGTCCCCTGGACTTGTTTTTTCAAGAATATATTAGAATTACAGACACGACTTTTCTACAGATTTATTATATGTATAGATGAGTCACAGCAAACACTTACCATCAGGTGGACTGTGTGCTCGCTTGTCACCCTTATACTACACATAAATTAAAATGTCTGTCTGTTAAATACAGAGTGCGGAGAAAATCTAGTCTAGTTAGTAATAAAATTAGTTCTTACTTGTTTTTAACCAGGTGCCAGGCAGGCTTAGATCGAAGTATACGATCCCGTTGTCTGAGCTCAATCCGCCGTCGTTGCTCTGCCAAACTTTTTTCCGCTTCCATTTCGAATTTCCTTTTTACTGACTCAGCTCGCAATAAAGCTGCTAAATTAGATCTTCCAGCTGCGGCACTTCTTAACTCCAATGCAGAATACGCTCGAGTGTTTGATACACAATCGCTAATGTTGCTATTATTATTGTTGCTTTGATAAATTTTTTTGACTATATTTTGCATCTAAAATATAGATTTAATAAACTTTTTTTAGCCACGCTATAGATATACTACAGTAAGATTGTAATAAGAATGGGTCGGCTCGACTTGGATAGAACCACGCTTTTACAGAATACTAGCAATGATATTTCTATAAATGTAAAAAGACTAGACAGTTAATTGAAAGGCTAATTAAGCTGGTTGTCTACGACATATAATATATTGTATATTATCTAAATGCTGACCTTATAGTGGCGGTGTAAGAATATCCAAAACCCCATATCATCCCGTGAATCGTTAGAAAGGACAGAGGGAAATCAACCAGGAGATGGACAGCAGCGTCTACCATTCAAAATCTAAAAAAAATTCGGGTCCCATCGCGCCTGACAAGCGAGGCAACTATGGCAAATATTCCCCCTTCGAGACAATCTATGAAGGAGGCCTATGTTCATCAGTGGAATTTGATAGGCTAACTAAAGAGAGTAAATTTGTGATTTATATTTATACAATACACAGTAAAAATTTTATAATATCACAATCTTAGTGCAAGCTATTTACATAGAATCTCAAGCTAAAGGGAACAGCGTATGAAACCCACAAAAGGACTTTTAAAACTACTTTTTACCTTCTGATTTGCTCTGCTAGCCGTTTTAAACCGAAATGGTTGCGGGCTAGTAGTTATAAAGTCTTCTTTCGACGTTTTACACGATTTGGTTGGACTAGCACACCTTAACCTATCTGAGGACGCAGTCGATTGAGCTGCGGGCGAAGGGTCGATGGGTAAATCACTATGAGCTGCTGGGGTTGATAAGCGACTGCGATCACGAGTTGCCATATTGCCTGGATAGTTAGCACTTCGTAACATTTCTTCAGCTCTGATGCGCCGATTAATTGATCTAAAAGAAAACTGAATGATAAAAAAAACCCTTAGGTCCTGCAGCACTTAGAATATTTTGCCAGTGAGAATTACTTCGCAACTGCGTTATATTTGATTTCTTAATATATTAACCCGAATATAAATACAAGCAAGTATTGCACGGTAACAGGCTTTTGGTCCCGCGCTTACATCGCAGTGACCAAATGAAACCCAAAGAGCATAAATAGCTGTCCTAGTGAAATAGTCGTACGGGTACCTGGGCCATGTTTGACCATGTTGTAAAGTGCCCGAAACATCGGATATTAAAAAAAAGTTAAAATTAAACGTGATAAAATCCGTAAAATTATTTTTAATTCATCATCATCATCATTACAGCCCTTCACAAGTCCACTGCTGAACATAGGCCTACCCCAAAGAATGCCACAAAGCACGGTCCTGAGCCACCTGCATCCATCGACTTCCTGCATGTCTTACCAGGTCGTCACTCCATCTCGTGGGGGGACGCCCTACACTTCGCCTACCGGTACGAGGCTGTCGAGAACCTTTCTTCCCCATCGGTTGTCGGTTCTTCGAGCTATATGGCCGGCCCACTGCCACTTCAGCTTACTAATCCGTTGGGCTATGTCGGTTACTCTGGTTCTACTGCGGATATCCTCATTCCTAAGTTTATCACGCAGAGAAACTCCGAGCATAGCCCTCTCCATAGCTCGCTGAGCGACCTTGAGCTTCCTCATACGGCCAGCAGTGAAGGACCACGTCTCAGTTCCATAAGTCATCACTGGCAACACGCACTGGTTATACAATTTCGTTTTCAGGTTTTGAGGTATGTCTGACGAGAAGATGTGTCGTAGCTTCCCGAACGCTGCCCAGCCGAGTTGAATCCGTCGATTGACCTCTCGGTCGAAGTTGGACTTACCTAGTCGGACTATTTGTCCCAGGTAAACATAATCGTCAACAACTTCGAGCTTAGTGCTCCCAACAACTACCGGCATAGGTGTGACATGGACATTGAACATGATCTTTGTTTTGTCCATGTTCATCTTAAGACCTATCCGTTGGGAAACACTATCGAGGTCATTGAGCATAGTGCTTAGGTCCTCCAGCGATTCTGCCATAAGGACTATATCGTCGGCAAATCGAAGGTGAGTGATGTACTCGCCATTGATGTTGATACCGTATCCTTTCCAGTCCAGAAGCTTGAAAACGTCTTCCAATGCAGCGGTGAAGAGTTTCGGGGATATGACGTCACCCTGTCTTACACCTCTCTGCAATTGGATAGGTTTCGTACTCTGGTTCTGTACTCGGATAGCCATCGTAGCCCTACTGTACAAGCACTTCAACACTTCGATATACCGACAGTCAACTTGGCACCGCTGAAGGGACTGCAGCACCGCACAAATTTCGACGGAATCAAAGGCTTTCTCATAGTCCACATACGCCAGACATAGTGGCAAATTGTACTCTTCGGACTTCTGTACAATTTGCCGAAGGGTATGTATGTGGTCTATGGTGCTAAAGCCCTTTCGGAAACCGGCTTGTTCGGGAGGCTGGAAGTCGTCAAGACTGCGCGCGAGACGATTCGTAATGACTCTCGAAAACAGCACGTAGACGCGGCTCAGAAGGGAAATCGGTCTGTAGTTCTTCAAGAGAGCGTTGTCACCTTTCTTGAAGAACAAGACCACCGCACTTCTGCTCCACGCCTCCGGTGTAATGCCACCATGGAGGACGGAATTAAAGAGCTTCTGAAGGACTTCAAGTACCGGTCTTCCACCCACTTTCAGAAGCTCCGCTGTAATTCCATCCTCGCCTGGGGCCTTACCGTTTTTAAGGTGCTGGAGAGCCATTCTAATCTCGCTCAGACTGACGTCCGGGATATCTTCGGAATAGTGTCGGATGAGACTCGCTCTTGGATCGTTACTCACACTTGCGTGTGGCTCCAACGATGACGTGTACAGCTGCCCATAGAACCTCTCAATCTCACTCAAAATCTCAGGTGTCCCGGAAACGATGCTGCCACATTCTGTCTTCAGCTTTGACAGGTGGCTCTTTCTGGCAGACAGATCTCTGGCAAAGACTTTGGAGCCTTGGTTCCGCTCGATCGCTTCTTCAATACGAGCTGTATTGAAGTTGCGTAAGTCCCGCCGCATGCATTTGGAGATCTGTCTGTTCAGATGCCTGTATGCTGTCAAGTCTGTTGAAGAATGTAGCTTCATCTCACGTCTAACAGCCATGAGATTAAGAGTGTGATCGGAGAGTTTTTGTGTTCTTCTGCGGCGGGTCTTGCAGAACTTAGCTCCGACCGCATGGACAGTTTCCACGAGCTTGTCATTCATATCGTCCACTTCATTGCAGTCTTCTAGGCACTGAAAACGGTTTTGTAACTCGAGCTGAAAGGTTTCGGGACTTTGGAACAGAGCACGAGGGGGACGGAGCGTTGACTTCATTAGACGAGACCTCTCCAACTTAACGTTTAGGTTCAGTGTGCCTCTAACCATTCGGTGATCGCTACCAGTTTTCACCCTCGCGATCACGGAGACATCACTGAACAGTTGTCGTCTGGTCGTCATAATGAAGTCAATCTCATTTTTTGTCGAACCGTCGGGGCTCGACCAGGTCCACTTCCTGTGGGGCCGCTTTTGGAAGAAAGAGTTCATCATAAAGAGTCCCTCTTTCTCCATGAAGTCGGCCAGCTGCTGGCCCCTTGGGTTCCGTTGCCCTATTCCAAATTTCCCTACTTTCAGCTCACCGTTCTCTCTTGTGCCTAGTTTTGCATTGAAGTCTCCCATTAACACCGTATATTGGGTTTTGGAGGAATGCATGGCTCTAGAGATATCCTCATACATTTCCTCCACCTCCCCATCGGGGTGTGCCGAGGTTGGTGCGTAAACCTGTATGACCTTCAGCGAATACCGTTTGGTAATTCTGAGTATAAGGTACGCAACCCTCGTCGACACACTCCCGATCTTTACAACGTTGTTAACGAGAGACTTGTGGACGATAAATCCGACACCTCCTTGGGACAGATGGTCGCCCTCCCGGTGATAGAGCAAGTTGCCGGATTCGAGGATTACCGTGTCCTCCCCCTCTCTTCGGACTTCGGATAATCCTATAATATGCCAGCGCAACTTGTCTATCTCTTCTTCCAGCTCCACGATCTTCTCCTCAGTCCTCAGGGTGCGTGCGTTGTACGTTGCCAGGTCGAGTCGTCTAAGGTGGCAACCGAACCTCCACCGGAGATTCTTAGCACCCCCTGCCCCGCCGTTACCATGGTCGCCACCGTAGCCAGGAATAGCGGGGCCGCCGGGGACTGGGGGCCGTCTCTTTGTTACATTCATAGGGGGGTATTTGCCATAGTTGCCACGCTTGGCGAGCGGGTTGGCAACCGCAGTTTTTTTATTATAATTTTGGCTATTATCAGGAAGATGCTGCTGCCCATCTCCTGCCTGTTTCCCTTTGTCGCCTTTTACGACACCCACGGGAGGATATGGGGTAGTGGTATTCTTGACCGCCACTACACGGTACGGTTTTTAATTAATGTATGTTATATTTTTCATCATATTTTTATAATAAACCTACGTGACTCTCCGGCCCATACACCGTACCTGTATAAAGATTAAGTCGATCCTTTGCCCGTTGCAGTAAATTGGGATAATAGTAAAGCGCTGGTTTACAATAGTGGAAAAGTAAAAATGGCAATGGCTGTCAGATGTTTAATGTAGCATCATATTAAAATTACTTTGTAAGACTTTACCATAAATTTACCTGAAATAGTGATCTTGTTTCATCTTATCGTAGATGTAATTGGAGAAAAGATTCTTCGGCACCGGTCGAGCCCGGAAACGCTTTTTCTTTTTTGGTTTAGGAAGAACATGAACCGCTCTCTCACACACATCACTTGTGCCATTCTCTTCTCTCTTAGTGAAACTAAATGGTTTCATTTGTGCTCGTAGTTCTGCTTCGCTGTTTATTTTTGTTATTGCACGTCTGTAATAATAATAAGTAAACGAGTGTAACTGTAACTATGGAGTGGTTTATTAATCTGTCACCTCATTTCCGTGTGGGTATCATAAAGGAAGACTATATGGAAAATACTACAAATATCTCATGACCTCCGATACATAGCGGAATACCCATCGTATATAATCATCATCATTATCATTATTTTACAAGTCCACTGCTTAACACGGTCCCTAGCCACCTGCATCCGTCGTTTTCATACATGTCCTCGCATATATGTCCTTTCACACATGTTCGCTCAGCTGGTTTCATAACTCATAGATGGGCGGAGGCAGTGGAGTCCAAGGGGGAAGTGCTGGCCGTTAGTTTGGACATAGCGAAGGCCTTCGATCGGGTTTGGCACAAAGCACTTCTTCCGAAGCTGCCTTCCTATGGGCTTCCCGAGAAATTGTGCAATTGGATCACCAGTTTTCTTGCAGATCGGAGCATCAAGATCGTAGCAGACGGTGCATGCTCCGATTACAAGCCCATTAACGCTAGTGTTCCACAAGCCTGCGTGCTATCACCAACGCTGTTTCTTCTGCATATCAATGATATGTTGCAACCCAGTAACATTCATTGCTATGCGGACGACAGCACTGGTGATGCTTTATACACCGGCCGTGCCAATATTTCTCGGAAAAACATCGTCGAGTACCGGGACAAACTTGTGTCTGAAGTCGAGACTTTGTTGAACAAAGTCTCAGACTGGGGTCGACTAAATCTAGTCCAGTTCAATCCCCAGAAGACACAAGTTTGCGCGTTTACCGCTAAAAAGAACCCCTTTGTCGTATCTCCTCAGTTTGAAGGCACTCCCCTTGTTGCCTCAGCCAGTATCGGAATCTTCGGTGTCGACATATCGAGTGACGTGCAGTTTTGTGGTCACTTGGAAGAGAAGGTCAAATTGGCCTTTAAAACGCTTGGCGTGCTCAGCAGAGCGGGACAGTATTTCATGCCGGCACACCGCTTGCAACTTTACAAGGCGCAGGTTCGGCCTCACATGGAATACTGTTCCCATCTCTGGGCAGGGGCTCTCCAGTGCCAGCTCCTTCCACTTGACCGCATCCAGCGCAGAGCGGTTCGAATCGTTGACGACCGAGTTCTTTCGGATCGGCTTGACTCACTGGCACTGTGTATAGATGTTGCATCTCTTTGCGTATTTTATCGCATCTATCACGGGGAGTGCTCTGAGGAATTGTTCGGACTAATTCCAGCCGCTCAATTTCACCATCGCACATCGCGACAAAATTCGCGATACCATCATACCATCTGAATGATTGGCGGTTCACCATTGTGCGATTTATAAGAAGTTTTCTCCCTCAAGTCAAGGAAGTTTCCTTGTGGAATCGATTACCACCAGTGATTTTTTCAGACCGATACGACTTAGGGACCTTCAAGAAAAAGAGCCTACTCCTTTTTAAAAGGCCGGCAACGCATCTGCAATTCCCCTGGTGTTGCAGTTGTTCATGGGCGGCGGTAGTCACTTACCATCAGGTGAGTCGCATGCTCGTTTGCCCCCTATCCTATAAAAAAAATATCCTACTAGGTCGCCATGCTATCTATTAGGGGGTGTAATACTGTACCTATCCGCATGCCAAGGTTAGCAACCACAGCAAATCCTCGCAAAAGTGAAAAGGCCCTGTTCTAAATTGGGTTGTTACTGATGAAAACGTTGTGATACGTGTTAAAATTAGAACGAAAAAGAAGTGTTATTTACAAAAGCTTACGCGCGAAACAATATTTGAAGTACAAGTAGTGATTATTTATTTATCTATGTAACAGTTGTATCTACGGGAGTCTTGGGAAATGAAAGCGAAGGAGTAGTGGTCTACTCTTATGATGAGACACCAGTTTTCATCTTCACCAGATATACAGGGTTATTTTTAGAAGATTAGCAAAATTTTAAACTTAAGTTCAAATATATAAATAATGATACACAGTTATAGCAGTTTTTGAAAATACGAGTAAATAAGGCTTCTACTCTTATTTGAAGTTATTCCAAATTTAACGTGATTTATGGGCAACAGCGTTTTTGACTACTGATCGACCCTTAAAAATGTGTGCGTGCGCAGTAAAATCAGTTAAAATAATGCAATTACCACGCATTTTGAATTTAAAAGATAAAAAGGACAGAATATTTGAGATTTTTTTTAATTAATTTTTCTTCATTATTTGTCTATATTACTTATTCTGAACTTTCTTTGCGAATTTGACCGGTTATTGTAAAATAACCCTGTATAACAAAAAAAAACACTAATTTCAAAATTGTGGTGGCATAAGAATTTCCATCGCCGTATTTTATTTATTTATTTATTTATTTATTTAGAAAACCAACAGCGTATATAGAAAATATTAACATTAATGTAACAAACTTAAAGTATGGCCAATAACAGGTTTCCCTTATATTGTTTGATGGTAGGTGTATTGTTGTTAGAAGAAAAGAAAAAAGAACAATCTAATAGATAAATTATAAGCAAAATTATAAGCAATTCAATGTAATGAAGGTGGTCATAAGTTTACAGATCAGGAGAGATAGTCAGGTAGAATGATATATTACGTTACCTTTATATATATATAAATATATAAATATATATATATATATATATATATATAAACATATAAGATATATATATACATACATATATATTATTTACTTATGTATATATACATATTAAATGTTTAAATATATAAACATAATACAAATAATTAATTATAATATATATTAAATAAAATAACTTAAGTACTTATATTTATATTAGTAGCCTCAAAAATACATATAGAAGAAATAGATGAGAGAATATATGATTGTATGTGATTTTAACTTGAACTGCTCTATTTCGTAATAGTTTTCTTGATGTAATCTTTAAACGTAAGTTTAGATTTCGCAAAGAGGTCAATGTGTCCAAATTGTTCATTATATGTACGAGCAAGCCGCGAAAGAACAGTGTTTCGACAGTAGTTTGAATGATGCCAGGGAGTCTGTAACAATGTAGTATTGCGGGTACGGAATTTTGGAGTACGAAAGGTGATTCTTGAGACAAGATATGGACAGTCAATATTACTGTTTATTATATCATATAACAAAGCCATGTCAAGCAAAATGCGCCTGTGTTCCAGAGATAAGAGATTGTGCTCAGTGCAACTGTCTGTGTAAGTATCGATTTTATTCCGACAGCGAAAGTTAAGGTGATTAACAAATATTTTTTGAATACGCTCAAGGCGGCTTTTGTAGACATTGTACTGTGGAGACCATATTGAACTAGCATATTCCAAAACACTTCTGACATATGCAAAATAAACCATTTTAATTGTATTAATATTCGAGAATGGTTTACAGATGCGAAGAACAAAACCAAGATTTTTATAGGCTTTACTGATAACGTAATCAATGTGTTCGGATAGTATCATTTTATGATCAAAAATTACGCCTAAGTCCCTAACACTTACTTTTCGGCTGATTTCTAATCCGTCAAAGTGATATTTATTTAGAATTGGCTTAGATTTCCGTGTAAAACTAATACATTCGCACTTGCTTGCATTGACAGTTATATTATTTATTTTGTAATATTCAAATAAACGGTCCAGGTCTTTTTGTATCAATAGGCAGTCATGTATGGTGTTAATTTTACAAAAAATCTTCTTATCATCTGCATACATGAGGTAATTTGTGTGTATAATGCACGAACCAATGTCATATAGGTAGGCATTGTAAAAAAGTGGACCTAAGTGAGAGCCCTGAGGAACACCTGTAGGTATGTTTATGTAGTTCGAACGGAAACCACCTATCACGACTGCTTGTGAGCGGTTTGTGAGATATGATTCAGTCCATCGGAGCAAGTCACCGTGAATCCCTAATATTTGTAATTTGTTGAGCAGGATCATGTGATCCACACGATCGAAAGCTTTTTCAAAATCAGTGTAGATCACATCAACCTGCCCACCTTGATCCATATTTTCAAGGACAAAAGAAGAAAAACTTGCCAGGTTCGTAGTGGTGGATCGCCTTTGTAAAAAACCATGTTGCTGCTCAGGGAAGGCACGTGAAAGCGTGGAGTAAATTACGTTATATACTACTCGTTCAAGGATTTTAGCCGCGGTGTTCAAAATAGAAATGCCTCTATAATTATTTATTTCTGTACGTGATCCCTTCTTGTGTACAGGGATTATGTGTGCACACTTCCATTGATGCGGAAATATCCCTTCACGTAGAGAGCGATTAAATATAATAGTCAAGGGGAGAGCAAGTGATTTAGCGCATCGTGACCAAAAAAAAGAAGGTAACCCATCACTACCGGCACCTTTGTTCGTGTCCAAAGTTTTCAACATTTTTTCAATTATTGCAGCGTTTGTCTGTACATTAGAAACGGTGTCAGTACACAACGATTCCGTATGTGGATATATGTAGTTATTACTAGGAATACCAAATACACTCTTGAAGAATGAGTTGAAAGCATTGCATATGTCCATACCATCGGTGTACTCTATATCTTTCAAAGACATTTTCTTAGGGTAACCTGACCCACCCCGAATGGCTTTGACGAAAGTCCAGAATGTTTTAGGATGTGTTTTGATGCTATTTTCACAACTTGACGTAAATTTATTAAAGCATTCTCTCTGAACACGGTGTTCTCTTGCTCGGAGTAACGAAAACTCATCGTAATCTAATCTATTCCTGAATTTTTTCCAACGTGTGTGAGCATTGTTTTTCTCCTTAATTATTTTTATTAAAGCAGGTGTGTACCATTTAGGATATGATCGCTTCCCTGTGTTATAACTAAAAGGCACATGTAAACGAACACAACTATCCAGTATGTTATAAAAGGTATTTGTAGCTTCGTCTACAGTGCCTGTACATAAAAGAGACCTCCAGTCCTGTTCTAAAAGATATGTATTAATTTTTTCATAATCAGCCCTCCTGAAATTTCGCCTCGGCGCAGCTGTTTTCCGTAGAGGAGTAATGTTTAAATCCAAAACTATGAAGCAAAAAG